TAGCGGCATTGTTCAGGTACTCCGTGTTTACGTTATTGTTGTTATTGCTACCGAAAACGTTATAGTCCCCGGCGTTTGCGCTGAAGTTTCCCCGGATATCACCCTGGATTCCTCTGGGAAGGATATTAGGCGCGTGCTTATTGCTTTTGAAATCGCAGACCTTAAAGGGAAGGGGAGCCTACTGGTCCATACTGTGCTCTACTCGTAGCTTTTAGCTCACTGTAGGGCCGCTTACAAAGGTTGGGTAGGAAAGTGCTGTAATTAACGAGATGTCTCTAGCGTATCCGAAATGGGAAAGGTGGACGATCTCGCCAACCGAGGAGGTTCAAAATGGTTTCGCTCGCGCTAAGACAAGTCAATACCACTAGATATGGGACTCTATAATAGAACGGGGTGCCAAGGACCCAACCTTGAATATGGCGATAAATAATTCTCTAGTTTTGAGGTAGCTTTGGCACGTAATCCTAGGCCCGGGTCGGGCTATTCGACTTCAAAGGAGCCTGAAGATCTGGCATAGGGGTACAGAATGGGTATTAGAGCGACGGCGTCTCGGGGCAGTGAGTAGGATGAAAGTTCACTCCGAGCAACTCGGAAGTCTTAAACTAGCAGCCTGGAGGGGGAGGCGCTCGAGAACAGTGAACAATACGGTACCCTAACCCTGCAGCCGGGTCCCTCGTGTCATAGCCTGGGAAGTGTCGCGGCAGTTGGTTGGCCTTGGACAATAATCAGTGTTTGGTGCACCTCTTTTTACGCCCCAGAATAGTCTAAATTTACCTGAGATGATAAGTTGACAGCAATCTCCGGACTGCAGAGGATTTTCCTGCACACCATGAGCGCGAGCAGAGTCTGAATACAGTAGCTGTGCATCCCGGGATACAGGTGCGAGTACTCTATCTGTCCCATCTGCAAGGTTAATCCAGCGCATAATCCTGCCCGAAAAATCGATCGAACTTTCACAATTAGAGCAGGAGCATAAAACAGTGAAAATCAAAGACACGATACTCCTGAATTGTATCAATTATAATTTCGTGAGGCCCATGAAAGCTAGCAGACCTTGTTTCTGGGCACGCATGGGCCCCTCTGTGGGAACTGGCAATGGGAATGGGATAGAGGTGGTATTGGGGTGGTACGAGGCAGGCATATGGTAATTATTTTAAGGTATCATATCATACCGGTAGATGTCCAGCAAATGTCGTGTGACAAGACACACTCCACCCAGCTCTGTTGAGGATACAATTTTTGGCCGTCCAAGATAACGCGTGAGGTTCAATCGTCCCGTTGGATAGGGTACCGGTACTATACTTAACAATAAGGCTAGAGCATGTACACGAGTACGGCCCAGCAATTTCCGTAGTCGTGCAGTTGGAACAGGGTCACTAAGCATAATGAAGAGGATATGCGCTCATGCAGCAGTGCAATACCGGTACTACCACATCACGAGAGGTTGCCAGAGTCCCCATGGCAGTTACCTCCACAAGGATTCGCCCAGTTAGGTTTAGTCGGGGAGAGGTAGGGGTTTTTGCAACCTTGACCTGGACTACTCGTATGATACCGGTGGTCTCGGATACACTATCGTAGAGCACGCTGCCAATTTGGGAACTTCTACCTCTGTGTATATTGAACACTATAGCCATCCAATTCCCTCTTTATTTTAAACATCGGTCACCACCCCGAATCGGTGATGAATTATACGGTGCTGGCTGTACTGCACTCATTACGAGTACATACAAACAACGGCTACTCTCACTTGGCACCACACCACCACCACCACCACTTCCCCGAACCGTTGCCCGGCATCCAGCGCTCTTTCAGCAATGATTGCCTACCCCATTTCTCTTTCAACACGCCCTCCCTTAAGCTCCACCAATCTTTGTTTTTCCGTGCGACAAACAACAGAATATCCGTTGGGTCAATGATCTACAAGTTTTTAGCTCATCTACTACCTCTTCCTCCTCCACCTGGCTACCCCTTTCAGGCTAGGAGCTTCCCTCGTAACGCCGTCAGCCTCTTGGCGATTTCCAAAGCATTCAGTTTTTGTTCTCTCGGAGATTTACCGCGCCACTCACGAGCCCGCCCAAAGGGGTTTAGGTTTCTTAATGTTACTTGTACCTGTGTTTCAATTATGCTGACTTGGTAGACGGGCCGGAAGCCCTTGGAGTCCACGGACTTCGGCAGGCTCCCGGCCAGCCACCTTCTTGCTCCCCAGCTGTCAGGTGAAAGGGCGATATTGCCAAAGAGAGGATGTATCATACGGTAGGATGGCTTAGGTCTATCGCCTTCTCATTCCCCTCTATTACACGTTGGGTGATTTCTTCAGATTCGCCATATTTCACTCTCTTCTTCAATAACATAGCCAGCTTGTTAACAGTCGATAGAGTTGTGCCGTTGTATGATCTGGGAACCTTCTAATGCCCCTTCGCGCTTCCGATCTCTAGCACTATTCGTGGAATTTGTACGGGGCTAGAGGAAGAAATTGCCGCTAGTGTACGCGTACGACACCAGGGGTAGCCGACTTCAAGTAGTCGAATTTCCTTTCCCGATTGCCCAATGAATATCATACAAAGAAAGAAAGACTAGTACGAGGTTCAGAACTATGCCAACTTGTGACACGAAAAGCCCAGGGCCAGCAGAGATGGACTGATGTTTTGGCAAGTTTAAAATTAATTAATTCGGGTTGGAAAACGGCGACAAAACCACAGTTTCCCATACAAATGGCGTCAAGACCCTAGCCCGCCCTTACTCTTTGATCAATAGATATCCTGAAAAATGAATTCTGTATTTGTGACAGCCTCGAAGGGGAAACTCCAGGGATTCGCTTGGATATGCAATAAATGTTGGTTTTAATCGATTGAACAGAGGTGGTGTCATGACTTTGTGAAAATATGGTCGCTGTGCATGTAAAACGCCCTTCTACCGGTGACTTTTGCCCTCCGCCTTGTATGGCACACTGCTGTACTGTACACACGGGGCTCTTGCGGTTTCCTGTGTTTTATTCTAGCATGTAGCCTACAGGAGATATAGCCGATCAGGCATACGCACACCTTGCCTCCAGGAACAATATCTCGATTTCCGACGCTTCCTCCCTACCACACTCCAACAGTTCAGCCGCCACTCATGGCTTCTAGTTGGTTACTTTTCCTAGTCCCGCACGCTCTGCCGTTGTCCCCGTGGAGTTTCCGACGGTGTTCCGCGCTGGTAGGAACTGGTAGTCCACTCCTGTTCCCCCTCGTCCAGCCTGCAATATCGTGAATCACTTTGCAGGAATTCTTCCTTTGCGGAGGACTGCGGCGCTCCGTGGGCGATGGAGGGCACGGCCAGCGAAGTGGGGCTGCGTATTGTCTAGACTTCTTAGCTATGTCCACGGTGACGGCACCTTGTTGTCCCCGAATTATCACACTCTCCTTGGAGTTGCAGCACCATAGCCAGGATGTTGGCACTTGGTTCTGCACCAGTAGGGTTCAAGAATCTTCACACGCCCCCCCCCTCCCGGTTCACTCTGATTTGGTGACTCAACGCTGTAGCGGGGCACACGGGAAAGCGGAAGATCAAGATGATACCGGTGGGCCTTATCTGTCCAAAGTCTGGAGTGAATGGCAGGATTACAATTACTACGGAGTGTTGTTGTTGGTAGTTATATACAAGTACTATATCCCCCCCCCAAATCTTTCACCATAAATTTTGTTTGGTCAAGTTAGGACTGGATCTCCCAAATGCCAACTCCTAAGGCTTCATTTCCAACATCTACGATGCCGGTTTACTTCCCCGCCCTGCTTATCGCCGTGGCTCTGCCCAGGAGAATCCAAATTGTGGGCCAATCCTAGTAAATGACAATCGCACAAATGCACTACAAGTAGCTCGTTCATTTATTGGGTCGCCGGCTATATAAAGGGGGGGATGGCGGTGACTAACCACTCGAATGGCCTTACTGGCTTTGAATTGTCCTTCCTTCCGCCAATTAGGGCATGCCTACAACCGCCGACGCCCCTAGCGTGATCGGATATATTTACGATCCGACTCTACTCGAGTAGCTGCCGATGGGGACCCTCCTGGGCCGCCGTTCTCAAGGACCATGGTCGCGTGCCCACCCTTGTCTTTCCAGTGCACGACAACCTTTATAAGAGTACCTCCCATTCAAATACCCTGCCTGCTTTATTTCCGCCCTGGAAGATGCGGAAGGCCACCATTGACCTCTACACCTGTGCGTGGCCGTATATCCCTGTTACCCTTTAGAATGGTGGCTGTCGAGAGGATGTGGAAGTATTTACACCAGCCACGGGCGATTATGCTTGTGCTAGAGGGGTGGAAGGGGGCCGTTGAAAAGGGTATTGCGCAGGTGTAGGGAGGCGGAATCTGTTTTGCGGTGCTGTTTTATGTGGCGCAGGCCGAGGGTTGGGCGGGGTCCGGTAGAAGGGAGGACGGGGTGGCGGGGGTGCGAGTGGGGGGTTGATATCACTGACTGAAGCTAGGCACCTGACATAATTCTCCGTCCGTGGCTAGTACTCGTATGCCCCGAGATGATCAGATTAGATCACACCCGACGGTTTCGCTCGGTGTACTTTCACGATACTCACACTTTTCACTGTTAGTCGTCCTTTCGCTTGTAGTCCGATTGTCACTGTTCTCGTCAGTTTCACTTGTGGTCCGATGTCACTATACTCACGATGTCGCTTTTCGTTGGGGGTGACGCTGACGCTCAAGGTAGGGGCTTCGCCCCTACGACCCCCCCTTCACAATCTGATCCGGGATTTCATTAGTGGTCAGGATGTCACGATACTTATTCGTATTAGTATCACTTCTCCAGTGATGCTTCGTGGGTAACTAGGGTGCCAGCCGCTTTATTCTATTCTATTCTATTGGTTCCCCTCCTCCGCGGGCCCGGCCCCTCTTTTGATCTCTGCCAGCTGCTCCAGGATCGTGCGCTGCAACGCCTCCATCCCCTTCCAGTTCTGGTCCATCGCATCCAGCTTTAGCGCTACCCCCTCGCACCACACCTTGACCAAGTCGAACCGCTCGTCCATCCTCCGGTCGCTCTCGTCCATCCTCTCGTCCATCCTCTTCTCCACCCGGTCAAACCGTTCCTCCAGCCCGTCGAACCGAGTCGCCAACCGCCGGACATCATCGCGGATGTCGTGCACCTCGTCCTCCAGCCGGAACTCTACCGGGGACTCCTGTGTCGCTGCCACCATTACTACCGGTCGCCGCTCCCGCTCCTCCGATGGCGTCTCCGGTAATGTTGTCTCGGGAACCCTTGACGCCTCCTCCTCCGACATCCCGTCCTTCTGGCGATTAATTGATCCTGGCACAGCCGTTAGCCAACTGTGCACGGTTGTTCTGCCGTTCGCGCCTTTATTCCGTCTTTGATGCGATCGACGTACCTCTTGATCGTGATGCGCCCGTCCCGCGCTGCTCGCTTCGCGTGGGGTGGTGGTTCAGTGGTGTCGGAGCCGCTGTTTGCTGGCTTCCTTTGCCACGGTTCGCCGTGCGCTGTGGTTGTGGTGGCGGCGGCAGTAGTACTATCGTGAGTGAGTTAGTGTCCTGTTGGTGGTGTTGTTGTTGTTGTAGCTGTCTCGGTCGCGTCGGAACCGAGATGGTGGGGATGCCCCATCTACCGGTATATACCCGACGTCCTTGGCGCCAAGCCGCCGTGCCGACCTTTTCGGTACCGTACGTGTGCCAGTCTCTCGCCCGGTTGAAAAAAGAAAAGGGGATCCCTTCAGAGTGTTGAGCCAATCGTGGTCTGGCTCTTCCGCACTGCCACAAGTGCCAGGCGAGTGAGAATACGTGAGGTGCCATGCCGTGTGCCAGGCAAGGTACAAGCACTTCCCACGCATTTTGGGTGTGCTTGCAATGTCACAGGTGCCAGGTGCCAGCTTTTGTTCCTATCCGCCAACCTCACTACCATCAACCGCTCCAGCCGCGACCTCCCAAGAACCTTACGTGCCCAGTTTGTAATACTCCTTAGAATCCGCCCAAGATTGGGCGCAGACCTTACCCCCTCCTAATCCCCCATCCTCCTCTACCCCCACCCCACCCATGTTCTCATCGCTACTCCCCGCACCTACACCGCCTAACCCCACCCTCTTCCTTTCTAGATGACCAACGTGTAGCATACCCCTTCTCTCGAATGAGGCCTTCTGCTTCGGTGTCGCGAAGCTGCCGCACCGAGCCTCGATTGGCAGGTCAGATGGCGAGTATTTCATCATCGGAGTCTTTCCATGTCCAAAGATCTCCCCTTTCTCCTTTTTCGTGCTCTTCTAAAAGGCCATGACCGGCGGCCTGAATATCGTTGATGGTGGTTGTAGTGACAGTGGACAACCCCTCCATGGACAAAGAACTCGTCATCTTGGATCGCTGTAGCTTTGCTCCAGCACCCTCATCTCCATTACTGACTAGCACGGTCCCTGTCCCTTCACCACCGGTGTAAGATGATCCATCTTCAACTTTGCTCACTTAGCGTGCGAACCCTTCTGCGTCGCAGAAGGTTAAATTTTTCGCAGAACTGCTCCGCGGCATCTCCCCTCCGAATCTATGCCCCTTTATTTCTTCTTTCTGCAGGCGCAAGCTCCGCGAAGATCAGGGAAGTAGGTTTTGAAGGGCCAGATTTCAGCCTGCATCTCTCATCGATTTGGATTGTGAGGGCGATGGTAATTGCAGGATACTGACAGTGGTTCAGGGGCAGGTGGTGCTTAAGGAGTTCAAGTTTTTTTTGCTTAACACGGGGGGGTCAACAAACAGGGGGGCTGGGGTCTGTTCGTTGAGCCTCATGTCCCATGCTACATGCAGAAAAGTAAAACAACCCCTTCCTTGTTGCCGGGTGGTACAGCACGCAACACGTGATTTGGGCTGCAAGGGTTGAAAAGGTGACTAAGCATAACAACTGTTGATGGGGGCTTCAACCTGATGCACTATGAAAGTACGAGTGCTCACGCTATCAGCTACACCACGAAGTGGCATTAACTTTGCCAGCTTTGGTTCGACCATAATAGCGCTGTGTCTAAGCAAGAGGAGCCGGAATTTGGTAGTACATGTGTAGAAATATCGATTGCGTTCACAAACGCCGCCAACTGGGCTACAACTAACGTATCCCACAGGGTAACCGGATGTCTCAAATGATGTGTCAGCCTAGTGAGATACCCCGCATTTAAATACTATGTCATATTCCAAGAAAGTAAATAATCGGTAACATCACCTTGTACAACAATGGCACGCGTGAAGGCTCGAAAGGTAACTGGCTGTGAGAGAGAGGAGCGAATTCGGGCTGCATTGCTGCAGAGGCGGGAGAAGGGTACCCCATGGGCAACGCTCACATTAGAGTATGGTATTGCGGGATCCACATTGAATGACCGGTGGAAGGGAGCAAGAGAGAGACGGGAGGCTCATTTAGATCAGCAAAAGCTTTCTCCAATGGCTGAAAAAGCACTAGAGCGGTGGTGTCAGCAGCTTGATGATTGGGGATTTCCATCAAGAATGGATATGTTGAGAGGAATGGCCAATGTTTTGGCCCAGTAGAGAGCTGAGCAAGAAGGAGATCCAGAATTAGCTCTCTTAGGCAAAAACTGGATAACATGCTTCCTAGATCGCTATCCACAGCTTGCAGCGAAATATAGTACCCAAATTGACCGACAAAGGGTCTTTACCAATAATCTGATTACGCTTCGTGATTACTACAACAAGCTTCAGAAACTGCTATGCAAGCACCACTTCTTACCAGAGAATATCTGGAACATGGATGAAAAAGGATTCATTCTTGGCTTTTCCTTGAAGGCAAAAGTAATCTGCTATATTGTAAGACGAAATCCACATGTCGCACAAGATGGATCTCGAGAAATGTTGACTGTTTTAGAATCAGTCTCGGCACTTGGAGTTGCCCTTCCACCTTTTGTGGTTTACAAGGGTAGAGGTCACTATCTGGGATGGCATCAGAAAACTGATCATCCTAAGACTCGGTTTACGTATAGCAAAAATGATTGGACCGATGTCCAGCTTGGAGTAGCCTGGCTGCACGAGCACTTCGAACCTAGAACCTACACCAAGCAACTACGGCTTCTCATTCTCAACGGACATGGGTCACATATTACATAGCAATTTTGCCAGCTTGCTCTAGAGAGAAACATTCAAATTCTCTGCCTTCCAGCACACTCCACACACTTGCTTCAACCCTTAGATGCTGGCATTTTTGGCTCGCTCCAGCACTACTATGGAAAGGTGGCAGATACACACATGCGGAATACTCGAACTGGGGTAAAACAGGAAATATTTTGGACCTTCTATAGTGAAGCCCGGGCTCTTATCTTCATACCTAAGACTATTCAGTCTGCCTTTCGGGCAACTAGTATAGTTCCCTTCAACCTGAATAAAGTATTGGTAAAGATAACAAAGGTTATAAAAACCACTACTCCCAATTGCCCAACTGCGATTTTTGCAACCCGCCGCAACCGCCACCAACTACGTCAACAAACTTTAGCTGCTACAAGCTTTTTTCCCTCTTCTCCTACAAGCTCTCGGAAATCATACCTTACAGTTGTACTTCACCTAGCTGATCTTACTGAGCGTGCACTTACAGAAGTAGAAATTGTCAAAGCAGAGGTTCAAGGACTCCGAAAAGGTCATGAGGCCAAGAAGGCAGTTAAAGCTGATCACTGAGTACTTTCTAAGGCCTGCATTATCATGGAGGAGGATATTATTCGCCTGCGAGAGGAGCGGCAAACCCATGACCTAAGAAAGTCAAATCAGCGGCCTACCAAAAAAAAAAAGTCCTTTTATCTTGCTTGAATCCAGTATCTTGTTCTTCTGGGTCCTGTATGCTGAGGATTCAATTTGTGAATACCCCTGTTAGGGGGTAGGTAAATCTAAGGTCAAGCGAGTATACACTAGGCCCTGTAATCTTCTGTCTCAGAGATAGTCAAGAAGGCTCATAAAGATAGAAGTAAAGTAGAATGAATATATTGATAAGATCTCTTTTCCAGTCGGGGTTGATAGACTTAAAGCTAGGGATTTTTGTTTTTTTTGTTTTGTTTGACTCATTTATATTTTTGTTTATGGGACAAAAAGGCATATAGAGTGCTAGCTATGATGCCTAAAAAACAGCCCCCCCCCAGACCAGGCTGAACGACAGAGCTAAAAAAACCCTCTGGGGTAGAAAAAACTACTCCCGCACGAAATCCTTCCCGTAAACTGCTCCATCCAATAACCCCCACTGCCAAGCGACAAAAGAAAGCTAACTACCTGACAGTGAACCAAGAACCCACCCCAACCCCAAGAACGAAACACCTAAAAGTAGAAACCCAAACCAAACCCCGAAGGGCCAATGATCGCAACTCAAATCCAATATAGGAACCCCGCGGCCATATGACGAGAACCAGGGGGAGGGAGCCGAAGCCCCGGACGCAAAGGGTATAAGGGAAACCACCCCGAAGGGGGCGACCGAGAAGCGAGGAGAGGAGATGTGTGGCAGGCGTGTCAGCGACCATGTGTTCTCCAGGACATTCGACGATTGAGGCAGTAAGGTACCAGCTTGAGAGAAGGTGGCAGTAGGGTGCCAGCCGATCCAACCGTGGAGAGGAGCCCTAAGCGAAGCAGGACTTTTACCGCGTCTCTCATGTAGTCCCTTGTTCTGGGAGAGATAGCGTCACTGTAGTGGAAGGGATCCCACCACCTGCTAGCCAAAAAGGCCCCAAAGAGTAGCGGAGGGGTAGACCCAATTCCGTGAACGACAACTATCGGTAACCGCGTTCGTGTCCAACTGGGCAGCCTCTTACGGGGGCAAGAAAAGGGAGAGATTGACCGTAGCCTGTAAGCTGTTCTCTCCTACTGCAACTGTAGTCCTGGCTGTCTGTTGAAGGTAGAACAGGGAGTTGCTGACCGTGCCAACACCTAAGTGAGGCAGGGTAGGAAGAGGAGAAACAACACGAAGATGAGAGGCCTCAACCAGGGATGGAACCGAGGGAATCAAGAAATAAATCAGGACCCCGAGGGAGAGGGGAAGCGAGTCCACCTCCTGTAGCCAAGGCTAGATGGAGGGAGATGGGGGCGGGGGTGGTGCTAGACGATGAAAGCTACGATAGAAATCATGGTGTTGAGTTTTCAATCGCCGGAGGTGTAGCGGAGACGGAGGATGACTTAAAGGTAGGGTATTTTTTTTTTTTTTGTTTGACTCATTTGAATTCTGTTTAAGGTACAAAAGGCATATGGAGCGCTAGCTATGACGCCAAAAAACCCTCCTCCCCGGCCCCGGGCCGAACGACAGAGCTAAAAAAACCCTCTGGGGTATAGAAAACTACTGCTGCCCGAAATCCTGCCCGTAAACTGCTCCACCCAATAACCCCCACCGCCAAGCGACAAAAGAAAGCTAACTACCCAACAGTGAACCAAGAACATGCCCCAACCCCAAGAACGAGACACCTAAAGGCAGAAACCCAAACTGAACCCTGAAGGGCCAACGATCACTACTCAAATCCGTGATAGGAACCCCACGGCTATATGACAAGGGCTAGGGGGAGGGAGCCGAAGCCCCGGA